GTCCGCTTTGTATCTTTCACACTTCCATCACTTTAACTTCAACGTGAACACCCATTTGCACCCAACCGTCTTTTGTTTTGGGTAGATCAATGACCGTCAAGTTATTCTTTTAAGAGCATTTATTTCTTCCATCACAGCTAATCTCCAGCTCGGGTCATTAATGCTCTGAACAGTCTTGGAACAAACATATAGAAATCCTAGACACAATGCTCTATGAATTTTGACAGTTTTTCATATGACAAGTATTGTGCGATAGGTGTTTAGTGCATGTTCGGATTCCTTTTCTTAAAGCAATTGGAAGACAAGGTCAGAAGGAGTGGAAGTAGAGGGAGGTTATCTGAGTTGTAGGGCATTATTCGGCAAAGCTGATTGAACTCTGCTGAAGGAATAACTGGGGCTGTAGTAACTTTATGGAATTGCTTCTAGTAAACTTGCAGCTCATGTTGAGGATTATGATCCACTGGATTATGATCCGTTGGAAGTACTTCTCCCCTGTTCTGATAAAGTAACATCTGGCAAAGTAGGATTAATAGTGCTAACACTAGTTTCATATTGAATTAGTTAAAGAAATGGGTAAAGTTTCCCAAAAATTATTTTCTTCAACTAAGTTCTCCCCCTGAAGAAATTTTTTTTTGAAAAAAAAGAGTGATCCCGACAAACCTGCATCCATGCTCTCAAAAAATTTCTTTGTGACTGGATTAAAACACTTGTACCCACTTTATTAGAAGCATAAACAATAAAAACACATTTTTCAGCTTTGGGATCAAGTTTTGAGCGAAACACATTTGGGACATGCAATAGCAAACACATCCAAAACTTTAAAGGGAGATCTGCTGTTATCTTAGATGTGGAAAAACAATTTTTCAAAGTTGTAAAGGTGTTTGAAATTTCAGAACTCGAGATGGCATTCTGTTTATTAAATAACAGAGGTTAGGAGTGCATTATCCAAAGATATTGGAACATTCATGGAAAACATAAGTGCCCGAGCAACTTAGTAAATGCCTATTTTTCTTTCAACAATACCATTTTGTTGTGGTGTGTCACGACAAGTAGATTGATGCAGAATACCTTTTTCCAAAATAAATGTTCTCAAATATTTGTTGAATATTCAGTCCCATTATCGTTTTAGAATGCCAATTTTTGTTTGAAATTGATTTTCAACATGTGGAAAAAATCTTAAATGTTGTTCAAATCAGATTTCTTTTCCAACAATAAACCAGCAAACTCGTGTGTGATCATCAATAAATGTTACAAACCATTTTTTTCCAGAAGTGTGTTAACTTTGGATGGGCCCCAAACACACACTAGCAACAAATAAAATGGTTTTGAAGCAGAATATGGTTATTGGAAATGAAACACGATGACTTTTAGCTAAATGACAAGCTTCACAATGAAGTTTTGAACAATCAATTCCTTTAAATAATTCAGGAAATAAAGATTTGAGATATGGAAAGCTAGGATGCCCTAATCTTTTATGCCAACAAACTTGATCTAAGACAAAGCTTGAACTTGTACTACCTAACCATGAGGTTTTATCCAGAACCAGTTCATCATAGTAGTACAACCCATTTATTTTCTAGCAGTTCCAATCGTTTCCCGAGTTCCGGTCCTGAAAAACACAATTGAAAGGAGAAAAAAGAATGGAATAGTCAGAGTCTTTAGACAATTTGCAACGAAAGAAGATTACATGCAAGTTTTGGAACATGTAAAAATGATTTCAAAGATATTTTTTCTGAAATTTTAATGTTTCCTTTGCCTGCAATAGGTGAAAAACTGCCATTAGCTTTCTGATTTCGAAACGGAACATGGATAATTGAATCAAACAATTGAGAACAGCTTGTCATATGATCAGAGGCTCCTGAATCTATGATCCAAGGAGTAGTACTTCCTAGAACAAATAAAGCCAAAGAATTACTCCTGTTTGGGCCATAGAACCATAGGAGCCTTAGATGATGAGCAAGATTTCAGCAGTTTAAGAGATAATTAATTGCCTTTACTAAATGGAGATGACTCAGCCTCATTGCTGTAGGTGTGCTATGTTCACCGATTTTTTTCCTTACCATTAGGTGTTTTACATAGCAACTTCCAGCATTTTTGCGAGTATGGCGTGGCTTTCCACAGTAGTCACATTGCAGGTTGTTTTGTCTTCTGCACGCTGGTTTTGAGAAGTTCACTGCTACTGGGCTTCAGGAATAGCAGCGCTGATCCTTCCATGGACGCGGTTGAACTGCAGTCTTCCTTCCCAACATCACATGTCTCCGACTCTCTTTCCCTTACCTCCGCAAAAACTTCACCAATTGGAGCAGGAATTTCTTCCAATTATTCGGCCACGGACCTCATCATATTCAAATTTAGACCTGCAAGAAATTTGAAGATTCGCCAGTATCCACTATCTTCTTGTACTGTTGCAGTCATCCTTTGATTTCCACTCATAATCATTGAATAAGGTCAGGTCCTGCCAAATCGTTTAAGAGAAGTGAAATACTTGTCACAGAATCCTCTTGGCAAATTTCCCAAGTTGTAGGGTCAACTCGTAAACTTGGGATTGATTTCCAAGATCAGAGTACATTTCTGTAACATTGTCCATAATTCCTTGGTGTAGAGTAACATAGGTAGTTTGCACTTATCTCTTCAGTCATGGATTGACCAACCATTCATTACCATTGAGTTTTCAGCATCCCAAAGGCATAAGTTTGTCATTCACGTCAGGCTGCTTAGATCACCTGTGATATAGCCAATCTTTCCTCTTCCTCGGAGATACATGCGAAAGATTGGACCATCGAAGAAAAATATCACCTTTAGTCAGGATTGTAGTAATCTGAATGGGATGGTTTTCAGATGTATTTCTCTGAGGTTCGGACGAGATGGCTGAAGAGGCTGGCTTGTCCCAACGTGACTTCAGACATTTTAGAGATAAAAAGAAAAAGGATTCAAACCTAGGATTTTTTTTTTTTCCTCTGATCAATAAAAAAAGTGAACAAAAAATATAAAAAGGCTGAATGATTTTTCTATATTGAGTATAGCTATTTAAAGAGCTAATAGGAACAAAAAAAGGCAGCTATATCTCCCTAATTAAGAAGAAATATACTAGTCAACTTACTACCCTAATATAGAAGAAAATAAATATTGATTCCTAAGATTACTAATACAGCTCATAAACTTCTAAACTAACTAAATATAGAGTATAACAAATATGGTACATAATCACAATTATTTACGAGATCTTTCAACAATTACAGTAGTATTTAAAGTGGCTGAGTACATAAAATAATAAGAAAGAAAACGGCCACGTTTTTAATGTCTAGAATTAGGAAACATCAAAATAATGGTTTTAAATTAGAAATATGATTTATTAAGGTGTTGCTTTTGGCCTACTTCTTATCGAAAAGTTATGCAATATACAATAGAACCTCTCTATAGTAATACTCTATAAAGGAATAACCTCCATATGGTCATAAAAAAATTTAGTCCTAACATGGGCCAATTATAGATAAAAATAAACTCCACATTGTAATAAGTTATAATTTGTTTTCAGATAGTAATAATTATTTATATATTGCAAAATATATATGCTGTGTTACATTAAAAGTTTAAGATAAACTAAAATATTTATCTAAAATTGTTTGGGACAATAATTTATGTTTTAGAGTTGTTATCACATCTTTGAACTTGCGGGTATGTAATAACTCATCAACATAGACACATTCTTGTTGAAGCCAGAATATTTCTAAGTTCTTAAGCATGTTTAGAGCTTTTCGACACAGTTTTTTTTTGTATTTCTATACTATCATCCTCAAGATTATCTCCTTCTTTTTCTTGTCTAATTGCAACAAATAATAATTATATTACTTTATTTCTATACCACTTGCACTTGGGATAAGTAAGTCAAAACATTTGACAATAATTTTTGTAATTCTCATAGTAATAAAATTAGTTTGGTCTCTACCATTATGATTGTAAAGAGGTTCTACTGTACTATAATTATTGACTACAACAATTTTTTTTTATTGTTGCATAACCAATCATCAAGTCATCTGTTTTTTATTGTTAATTTTACTTTGTTTTTGTAGTAGTTTTAGTTTCTTTACCCGTCTTCTGATTTAGGAGATCATCTTGTACTTCACCTTGAAACAGATTTGTTTTTCTTTTGTCTTTTTCACCTTGTTGATCCAATGAATTTTTGTCAAGGTTACTCCCATCTTCTTGGGGTTTTATTTTAAATTTTGATCTTGTTAGTTTTATTATTACAGTGGTTTTTTCTTCATTGTCTCCCCGTGCTAAAGTAATTACCAACTTCCTAATACATCTCATGTTTGAAGATTTGATTGCTTCTAGCATGTACAATATTATGTGAATGCTTGATTGTCTATTTATAGACATAATTCACACCGAACATTTAGCACTTGAATAAGCCATAGAAAATCAGTGAGCTTGTTGAATTTACTTACCAACTTGCCTTCAAAGAAAATTGGTTTCCTCTATGCCATTTTATTATTAAGAAACTTTATCCGAAATGCTTGAGATCTTTTCATAAGAGGTCTTTGTGGTACTGATGTCTTAATTAAAACTAGATTACAAACACATATAAATTGTTGGTTTGATCTATGGATTGGAAGTTACTTTGATTATCAATCTTTTTTTTTTTTTTTTTCTAGTGAAAAGTTAAACAAATATATGATTTACCAAAGATACCATGAAGATTTTTGCTGTGGTTTCAGTTTTATTGTATTGTTTTATAAGATTGTGGCAAGCTTTAAAAGATTGAGACAACTTTAATCTCACTATGTTAATTGAATCATTTCTCTCTGATTTGCGCTGAGATGGTAGTGTCTCCTTATCCCAGCAAGTGTAGAAGAACACATCCTCGTAAAACACCTTAGTTTTTGCTAATTTAGCCATGCTAAACATAGAATTTAATTATCATGTAACTCCTCCAATAGTAGAGGCATTGGTTTTGAAGTGCATCATTAATTTATGACTGTTCTTTAAGAGATAGTCTTTCATGCATTCTGCTGTAGTTCAACCAGTTAATCAGGGTATTTTATATCAACGTGAGTGGAATATACTTGCTTTCTTATTAGCTGTTATATTGCAATAGACTGCGTAACACTCTCTTGTTTCTTAAATAGCATCGTATGGGATTAAATGTTTTCACTTATGTGAGCCTGTTTCAATTCCCACAAATTTTCTATCTAGTACTTATTCAATGTGATTCACTCACTTACACATAGAATGTTAACTGCAATAAGTGATGTCTTCTTCATCACAAAACTTAATTATATGTTTAAGCTGATGTCATTAGATTTCTTTTGGTGGAAACTGCCAAATTACTCCTGCATTATTATAGGTGGATTGTTCATAATATATGTTCTAAGGATACTTGTGCTTAAATTCCCTTATCTACATGTGATAATGGAATTTTGCTGAAAAACAATTTTTCCATTCGACAATCAAATGAGGTAAAAGAATATATTCTTGTCTTGTCTTTGGCATTGAGATCAAGCAGAATATCTTTGTTCACTGTAATACTTGTCTTATATGTGCTTTTAGAATGTGGAATTCAAAACGTTGCTAGCAATGCAGTAATTGACTATGTGGTACTTTGTTCATATGAAGTGTTAAGGAAATTATAGAGAGGCATCGCATCCACTCGAAGAACCTTGAGAAAATGGAAGCCCCATCACTTGAGTTGCAGGCATGTGAAGTACGTTTTTTTATGGATTGTTTTGTTTCTTTTATATCTGCTATTGGATTTTCTGATAAACTTTTTTCATTTTTCATACGTGCTAAATTATTGTTAATCCACTCTTTTAGTTGGTTCATTTTGGAGTTCTGATTCAATGAAAGAAATTCTAATTATCTAACAACTGCTAGCCAGAAGTGATTTTCTTTAGGGCTTCCGGAAACTGATATATTGTTTCTTTTTCAAGAATCAAGGTTGTTTCTGAAGATTTCCATTTGACTCATGTATGGATACTTCAGCATGATTTTATGTTTTTCTTTCATATTCGTATTATTCTTTCTTTGTCATTTGCTTCATACGACATTAATATTGATATGAATATTACAGTCGTTGTAATACTAAATTTGATTTTCTTAAGCTTGTGTGATCGAATTTTACATTCCATTTTCTTTTGCCGACTTTTATAACATGAGATATATATTGTAGTTGGTGGAGAGCAACAACATGGCCAGACTGAGCAAGGAGATTGCAGAGAAAACTCAGCAGCTGAGGTATGGATTGGTTTGTGCATTTGATTAGTTGTTGTGATGTGCATACTGAAACAAAACCCCATTTCCATGTTAAACAGGAATTTAAGGGGAGAGGAGATCCATGGATTAAACATAGAAGAGCTGCAGCAGCTCGAAAAGACTCTTGAAGTTGGATTGAGCCGTGTGATTGAGAAAAAGGTTTGCATATAGTTATATTTTGTTTTTCCCAATTCTTGCATGATAACAATCTTAGAGTACATGGTCATATTTTTACTTATTTAACTTAATATGCAGGGTGAAAAGATTATGAAAGAGATTGATGAACTTGAAAGAAGGGTAAGATACCTAAACTCTTCTTTATCAGCCGTGATAGGGTATATTTTTCAACATAGTGAATGATAAACTTTGAACATATTCAGTTTTGAGAATAAATCTATTTTGATAATACTTGCAATATTTTAACTTTTACTGGTTGCCTTGTCTTCTCTCATGTTCTCTTTTCTTGAATTTGATAATCCAACATTTGCAGGGAAAGCAATTGATGGAAGAGAATGAGCGTTTGAGGCAGCAAGTATGAACACTCATCATAACTTCTTGTGCTCCATCTCATATAATATTTTGCTTTGCATTTTTTAATGAGAGTTTAACCGAAGGTGGCGGGGATCACCTCCGCGCAAAGACAAGCAGCGGCTGATGATTCCGACAACATGCTCTGTGAGGAAGGCCAGTCTTCAGAGTCTGTAACCAACGGCAACTCAGGCCCCCCTCCACCCGACTCAGACAGCTCTGATATTTCTCTCAAGTTGGGGTGAGTTTTAACTAGCTAGCTCATACATAGCTTTGTTTTGCATGTGTAGTAGCATTATAAATAACCTATGGATGGATCCTTGGAAAAAAGATACATCTGTTTTTCCTCTTAACTTTTATCTTATGAGAAGGAATTTGTTGCAGTTTGGTAATGGAGTGTACTAATTTCATGCAGCTTACCATATGCTGGTTAAATGGGAAGCTCGGAGAAGTACTTATCTATATATCAACAAAAGGTGTAACTATGGTCTATTATGGCGCTTTTGGAAACTGGGGACATTGTAGTTAAATTAAACCTAAATCTAACCCACGTCTTACGATGTGCTAGTAATTAAGAATTAATGTGTAGCTAATCACACAGATTCTTGAGAACATGAAAACTCTATATGCTCAAGTAATGCTGTTGTTATTATTGGCGGTATTCTATGAAACGTAATGCTCTATCGTTGTGGTTGAGAGCCTTTCATGGTGTGGGAAACCATAAGTGTTTTTTTAACTGAGAGTTGGCAATACAGTCAGGATTTGATGTGGATGCTAAAGAATATTAAGTGGCTGTATAACAATCATAAGAAAGAAAAAACGGCCACGTTTTTAATGTCTAAATTGAACATCAAAATAATGGTTTTAAATTAGAAATATGATTTATTAAGGTGTTGCTTTTGGCCTACTTCTTATCGAAAAGTTATGCAATATACAATAGAACCTCTCTATAGTAAAACTCTATAAAGGATAACCCCATATGGTCATAAAAAATTTAGTCCTAACATGGGCCAATTATAGATAAAATAAACTCCACATTGTAATAATTTATATTTTGTTTTCAGATAGTAATAATATTTTATATATTGCAAATATATATTGTGTTACATTAAAAGTTTAAGATAACTAAATATTTATCTAAATTGTTTGGACAATAATTTATGTTTAGAGTTGTTATCACATCTTTGAACTTGCGGGTATGTAATAACTCATCATGACACATTCTTGTTGAAGCAGAATATTCTAAGTTCTTAAGCATGTTTAGAGCTTTTCGACACAGTTTTTTTTGTATTTCTATACTATCATCCTCAAGATTATCTCCTTCTTTTTCTTGTCTAATTGCCAAATAATAATATATTACTTTATTTCTATACACTTGCACTTGGATAAGTAAGTCAAAACATTTGACAAAATTTTTGTAATTCTCATAGTAAAAATTAGTTTGGTCTCTACCATTATGATTGTAAAGAGGTTCTACTGTACATAATTATTGACTACAACAATTTTTTTTTATTGTTGCATAACCATCATCAAGTCATCTGTTTTTTATTGTTAATTTTACTTTGTTTTTGTAGTAGTTTTAGTTTCTTTACCCGTCTTCTGATTTAGGAGATCATCTTGTACTTCACCTTGAAACAGATTTGTTTTTCTTTTGTCTTTTTCACCTGTTTGATCCAATGAATTTTTGTCAAGGTTACTCCCATCTTCTTGGGGTTTTATTTTAAATTTTGATCTTGTTAGTTTTATTATTACAGTGGTTTTTTCTAATTGTCTCCCGTGCTAAGTATTACCAACTTCCAATACTCTCATGTTTGAAGATTTGATTGCTTCTAGCATGTACAATATGTGAATGCTGATTGTCTATTTAAACATAATTCACACCGAACTTTAGCACTTGAATAAGCCATAGAAAATCAGTGAGCTTGTGAATTACTTACCAACTTGCCTTCAAAGAAAATTGGTTTCCTCTATGCCATTTTATTATTAAGAAACTTATCCGAATGTGCTTGAGATCTTTTCATAAGAGGTCTTTGTGGTACTGATGTCTTAATTAAAACTAGATTACTAACACATAAATTGTTGGTTTGATCTATGGATTGGAAGTTACTTTGATTATCAATCTTTTTTTTTTTTTTTTTCTAGTGAAAAGTTAACAAATATATGATTTACCAAAGATACCATGAAGATTTTTGCTGTGGTTTCAGTTTTATTGTATTGTTTTATAGATTGTGGCAACTTTAAAGATTGAGACAACTTTAATCTCACTATGTTAATTGAATCATTTCTCTCTGATTTGCGCTGAGATGTAGTGTCTCCTTATCCCAGCAAGTGTAGAAGAACACATCCTCGTAAAACACCTTAGTTTTTGCTAATTTGCCTGCTAAACATAGATTTTAATTATCATGTAACTCCTCCAATAGTAGAGCATTGGTTTTGAAGTGCATCATTAATTTATGACTGTTCTTTAAGGGATTTCTTTCGTGCATTCTGCTGTAGGTCAACCAGTTAATCAGGGTATTTTATATCAACGTGAAAGGGAATTTCTTCCAATTATTCGGCCACGGACCTCATCATATTCAACATTTAGACCTGCAAGAAATTTGAAGATTCGACCAGTATCCACTATCTTCTTGTACTTGTTGCAGTCATCCTTTGATTTCCACTCATAATCATTGAATAAGTCCAGGTCCTGCCAAATCCGTTTAAGAGAATTGAAATACTTTGTCACAGAATCCTCACCTTGGCAAATTTCTCCATGTTGTAGGGTCAACTCGTAAACTTGGGATTGATTTCCAAGATCAGAGTACATTTCTGTAACATTGTCCCATAATTCCTTGGCTGTAGAGTAACACAGGTAGTTTGCACTTATCTCTTCAGTCATGGAATTGACCAACCATGTCATTACCATTGAGTTTTCAGCATCCCAAATGGCATAAGTATTGTCATTCACGTCAGGCTGCTTAGTATCACCTGTGATATAGCCAATCTTTCCTCTTCCTCGGAGATACATGCGAACAGATTGTGACCATCGAAGAAAATTATCACCCTTTAGTCGGATTGTAGTAATCTGAATGGGATGGTTTTCAGATGTATTTCTCTGAGGTTCGGACTGAGATGGCTGAAGAGGCTGGCTTGTCCCAGACGTGACTTCAGACATTTTAGAGATAAAAAGAAAAAGGATTCAAACCTAGGATTTTTTTTGTTTTCTAACTCTGATACCATAAAACAGTGAACAAAAAATATAAAAAGGCTGAATGATTTTTCTATATTGATGTATAGCTATTTAAAGAGCTTAACTAGGAACAAAAAAAGGCAGCTAATCTCCCTATTTAAGAAGAAATATACTAGTCAACTTACTACCCTAATATAGAAGAAAATAAATATTGATTCCTAAGATTACTAATACAGCTCATAAACTTCTAAACTAACTAAATATAGAGTATAAAAAATATAGTACATAATCACAATTATTTACGAGATCTTTCAACAAATAGGCCGAAGAGGACTCGAACCCAAAGCACAACCTCCTCTTCAGAAGCACCAACAACATCAACGAATATACTGTCTTCCATGCAGTCATAGAGTAATGAGCTTCAACAATATTTGGAAACCCCCAAAATGTTATCAGCAGATCCACAACAAATAGCCAACTTTGATGTCTTAGAATATTAGAAAACCAGAAAATGTATTTTTTCGGTATTATCAAGACTTGCCTTGGATGTTTTCGCTGTTCCTGTCTCAACCATCTCATCCGAACAAACATTTAGTGCAAGTGGAAGAATTTTAAATGAAAGGAGGACTAAACTTTCAGAAAAAAATGATTGAAGTCCTCACATGTCTTCGAGATTGGGAATGGTCGCGCCTTCAAGATCAATACGAGGTTGTTGACGATACTTTAATAGAATCATTTCAATTTTATAATATAGATGATAAGGATGATGAAGGTCCTAGTGAACCCCCAAATTAGTTGTTTTGTAAATTGTAACTTGATAAATGAATAAATCCAATTTTTCTTATATTACAATTTTATTGTATTAAAATTGAATTAATATTTGAAATGTTAAGTTGTTAACAAAGAAAAAAATTAATTTAATTGAATTATTGATATTTGAAAAGTTAACTAAAAACAATTACACAAAATAAAAGAAAATAAAATAAAACAAAAAATAAAATTTAAAAAAAGGGTTAACCCAGCCCGCCCTGCAGCATAACCCGTTGGGTTAGGGTTGGCAAGCCGAGGTGGGCCAGCCAATTCCAACAAAGTGGTTAGGCTTGCCAAAATTGCCAACCCGCCAAGAGCCGGGCCGGGCCGGTTGCTTTTCCACCATCAACAGGTTTAAAATATGCAGTCACATGCATTGGAAAAAAAAAATAGAAACAAAATTATGATTATGGGCGTTCTGGAATGCCAGAATAATCACACATGCAATGCAATATTCAGTCAAAACCCAATAAATAATCAATGTCTAAGTCTTCAGAATACATACATTTTATTATTTGTGTTGTGATTTCTTGAATTGAGTTGATAAAGAGAAATCTAGTTAATTTGGTGGGACTGGTTTATGTGATTGATAAATAGAAGTGTTTATATTTTGCAATTGTGATTTCTTGCATTATCTCACTTCAAAATCCTCTTAACATGTTGTCAAACAACCTGCAATTGTGATTTGTAATTTTGCTTTTAAAAGCCACTTTAAAGAAATGTATGTATAAGCAAAACTATGATTTGTGTTTCAATTGATAGAGAGGGCTATTGCAATTATTTTTGTTTTATTATTCCTTTAGATTGTTTTTCAGTCTGTATTGGAAAAATATTCATTCAACACTTTTAAGTTAGAGTACAAATCATTAATGCAAACAAAGACACTCACCAGCTTGTCAGCCACAAGACTATTAAACTTTTCTATAAGGAGATGCCATTCATGACTTGGCATGCGGAGTGTGCCCCTTAATAAACACAAGTTAATGTACAATCATATTATTTAGAAAAAGCAACAACCAATTTCTCCTTCAACTGTTCGGCAGCACCAGTTTGGGTCCAAATGGAAAATGTGTGAATAACCTTGTCATCTGTTGTAGACACATTAGACTCTTGAGATATAATATGATGTTCATTGAATGTTTTCATCACCCCAGAAACCGGGTGAGTATCCAAAGGGCAGCTCACCCTCACAACTGCATCCTCGTGTCTTGGTTGAAAATCAATCTCTGATAGAGAAATCTGCCTTTGCTTAATGTTTACCATCTCCTTCAACACTTCTAAGTTAGAGTACAGCTGTTTGAGGAGTTTGATTGTGGGATTGTTTTTTGGGGGATTTACTTCCTAACCATCTGTAAAAGTGTTACCTCTTTATCTTCTCTTTGATGTCTTATTTGTGTGTGTTAGCATGCCTCATGCTTCTCCATGTTTTGGTAGTATCTCGAATAACATGCAAACAAAAACCTCTGATAGCCTAGTTCTAATTTACCACCATGTTTCATTCACCTAGAATTCATAACAAGACATCTATCTTTAATATGCTCAAAATCAAACGTCTTTAACATGGCGACCAACTACCTCATGCCAAAACTTAAAAAGATACAATTGCTTTTGAACACAAATTTAAGATGAATTTCACTAGTGTTGATTTTATGAACAGTTCAGTAGTCCAATTTTTTCCTCCTTATGCCCTACATCTATATCGTATGTATAACTTGCTGT